TTCATAGTAAACAGCAATCCTCAGGCCCGACGATTGTTTAACATCTCTAGGTGCTTTTATATTTACATACTATCTCTGATATTGAGCACTTTAATCCTAAAATATTGCATATTACCATTGGTTTCAACCAATAGCTTCAAATACCAAAGAGTAAATCTATTCATTAAAATCACCACTGGCTTTAACCACAGCCTCTAGGCGACTTCGGAATCTCCTGCAACTCTTCGCGTCGGTCTCCTTGTTTCGTTGGCTGAAATGCTGCCATAATTCTTGCCTCAGGTCATCTTTCGTGTTACAAAGAGTTTTGTTGGCCTCTCGCTCAACTGCACTATACACATAAGAATCAAGGGGGTTACAGTCTGGGGAGTTAGGTGGCCAGATATAAGGGGTGATGTGGTTGCAGAAATTGTCTGACAGCTCGACATGACTGAGTTCTCCTGTCTCTGTTGCATGGTGTAGACATAGGTTCTTCCAGCAGCCACCTTCTTGAACTAGGGCAGCACTACCTCCTCGGGGTACTTGATGTAGGTCTCTGTGTTGAATCTGTGGTCCTGTGGGAAGATGACCGACGGCATAACATCGGCATCATTATTAAACACTCATTGACAACCAGACACTCTGAAATGTTCATATTACAGCTTCCGGTGCGAATTCCAAGCAGTACAGCATGCAGCTTCCAAATCACTAGCAAAGTGATTTGCGTCAACGGGCTCTTTTTCTCACAGAAGGTGCTCAACTGAACCTATTATAATCTACCGTCGACAAAATCAAAACCAAACAACGCGCATGCGCGAAATTAAAAATATAATATGGCGATAATTGAAACATCGCGCGCTCTAATTATTTTGACTTTGGAGAAGTTGATTTGGATAGTGGATGTTTAAATAAAAATTGGCATTTTTTAAAAAAAGAAGTTCTTTTTCTCCCTTTCTTTCCTTAGACATTGACTTGTTTCAATTGGCATCCTCAGTAGCATCATTAAATTTTGGGGTTATCCTGATGAATATTTATGAGAGTACTGAAACTGTAAATTTTTGAAAAACCAATAACATCTGAGCTCTTTTATATAATTAAAAAATTAAAATGCTTCCATTTGCCTTGATAAAGTCACCCAGAGGATGAAACACGTCGGCTAAGATAAATTTTCATTTTGCCTTTATTCATATATATATATATACATATATATATATATATAGCAATTTTGATATATATTATTTATATATTATATATGGGGGAAACTTATTGGATAGAGCTAACATATTTAGTTGGATTGATGTAAATTTGTGACTCTGGTTTTCACGCTCTCACAGCTTTTCTGACGATCGCAGAAAGCGTGAACCCAGGGTCGGTTGCGAGACCAGAAACACGTGTCGTGAAATTATGTAAAACAAAGTATAATATTTTTTCAATAAATCCACATTACAACCAAAAACGTTTGCGGCACCACCCTTCTTTTTTAATATACATACTTTTCTCTCGTTGGAACCACGACAACATATTTCTTTTATATATATATATATATATATATATATATATATATATATATATATATATATATATATATATGTGTGTGTATTTAGCATTTTTTTCATTCATACATGTTTCATTAAATAATATAGACTAGTGTTGTCTACTTATTTTATGTAAATTCTTTTCATAATGTCTGATAAGCTTAACATATATCATTAAACGAAAAAAGAAAATCACAATATTGATCCATATTTTTTAAACTTTAGGCTTACATAAGCCATTATCAAAGATGTCAATTACTGTACAATGTATTAAGCAATATACGGACAAGACAGTGCTTGTTATTGTTTACATGGATGATTTCCAAGCAGCGAAAAACACGTGCATATAGGACGCTGGAAGCGAAAATCGCACCGCAGCTCTTGACGTCACACATGACCACGCGAGAGTGAATTCAAGATGTATTAAGTATGAGAAGCTGTTATATATGTATTTTATGTATATTTAGGTAGTATATTTCATTCAAATATAAATGTTTAGATATTTCAGACATATCATGTCGATTAGTTTTGCTGTGACCATTTCAAGTTCGAGGATTAATTTCTTGGTAGGCTAAGAAAATTAATTAAGAAAATTCCAAAATTTACTTTCATATAATTTTTCTCAGGTCCTTTCAATCTCATCTATGACCATCTTCAGGAGTTTAAGTTTTCTGTAAGTATATATATATATATATATATATATATATATATATATATATATATATATTCAAATTCAAACCTTTCCAACGGTTCGCTTTACTGCTTATGCAGCGTTCTATATTTCAAAGTTCACGTGTATTGAAGAGAATCTTTCCAGTATAGGGAAGTAACGTTTCCATTTTTTCTCATATATATATAACATTGTTTATAAACAATTAAGGATTTTGTTGCTATACTCATAGCTGACTTTATTTATTTTAGGATTTAATTCTCCTATCAAACGAGATTCAATGAGTTTTAGTTTTTGCTTATTATTGTTTTTATCTAAT